CCTTCTACGCTTGTAGCATAAGTAGGCCGTAGATCTCTAGAATGTCTTATGCCCTTAGCTCCCACAATCACAGCTCTCTATAGTCTAGCCAAAGACGTTGAAAGCTGAACAACAGATACCAATAGCCTGACCCAACCACAATGCAAGAGAACTCGAACCGTGGGAGGAGGAAAGACCAACTTCCAGCCGGAAGTAAGAGACCCAGGTCAAAGTCCGGTAATGTGGCAAAGAACGACAAACGCCCGAAGTTGTCCGAGAATTCGAAATCGAGGTCCTTCTCGCGAACCCACGCACAGCCAGCGGCTGAGCGAGATACTATGCTGTGCTCCGGTAGCATCGAGATCTCCTTTGGCCTGCCATCGAATACCGATGGAACCGCTGCATCGTGGCCGCTTGCGGAGATCCTCGTCTACGACAAAGAAGGCAACAAAACTACCATCGCAGAGGATATAGTACTTACCGGGTCACCAGCTCTCGATCAGATCCTGGCAGAACCCTGTCTCGGGCCGAAACGACTGCTTGTCGATATGTATCTCGAAGGAGGCTTGCCCAGCCAGGTCTTCCATCGCGACATCGAGCTCTGCTTCGATGCATTGAAACCTGCCATCTTGCATTACGAGTTCGGCTTCGTGTCCGAGATCGATCTCGACCCACCAGAGGGCGAGTTCATCGGCGCTTCAATGCGTAATGCTCTCCTGCTTCGTATGTTCACGCAATTCGCAGAGCGTGCCGGCTTCGTGGGACATGCGAGACAGGATCTCGAGAATGGCTTTGCGAAAGGTCCTAATTTGCAGATAGCCACCTTCACACCAAGGCAATGACGTTGGCTCTGATGCCGAGGATAGTCAGAGCGACTCAGTGATTGTAGTATTGCGGATAAGTGTGGTAGCCTCAGCCGTCGTATGTGTACATAGCTTGAGCATGGCATACCAAGGATTTGAGGTTCACCTCCTCATATATGTCCGGAGAAGACCGTATTTGAGTCTTGAAATTGCCATCCTGGCTCCGTGAAGATCACAGCTGGACCAACTGCAAAGAGTGACATTGTTGTTCCCATGCCACTTACTGAACGGTTTGTGTTCCGCCACCAAGTCAAAGTCCGAGTCCGATATGACTGGAAGCAGTCACCAAAGAGCAAACATGGTCCATTAAGCCCTAAAAGCAAGACCTCTCAGTCCACGACTGCTTCGATAGGTCACAGAAACTTAGACATACACAACAAGCACCACGAAGATCGTATTCTCCCAACTCGATAGACCCATTCGCGGAAGGTGCCATACACTAACAGCAGTGCTGCAGATAATCCGACGGCGATGTTTCCAGGACCCAAGCAAAGTCCACAGCCAACTGATCAGACCAGGCCGTTCCGATCCACCGCATACAGTGCGCAAGAGACTAGTTCAGCAAACGCTTTGCTACAGCTTGCTGGGTCCAAGCCGCTGACCCGTCCCGAGTCGTCATTCCGACCATCTGTCGTAGGAAGACCTTCCAGTAGTGGCAGTGGCACCAATGTCTCTGGTAGCAGTGAGCTCATTTGATTATGACGAAGGACTAGCCCTGGGCCCGCACTGAGTTTGTGTCTAGGAAATTTAGCGCCGAATGCATACAGGCCTCAGGTTTACACATTGACCTTCCACGCCCCGTGGTACATGGGCCCAGATCAAAGGCCCGCCGCCAACATCACTGCTATCGATACAGACTGAAACTTCCATGATGTGGCCGGTGGAGGAGCGATCGAAGATGACGGGGCTCTATTGCGCGCCAAGCTGAACGTCTTGGTCCAAGCAACGACTCTTTTGAACTCGGAATTCGTTCTGCACCTGCCGATCTCGACAGGTGAGTCCTGGCGGGATGTATGCGCGGCCTTGACCTTCATCAACGCTGTCTTACCGCAGTTTGAACTCGCTGTTACGGTACAGCTTAGTTACCCAGCGACTGCACGCCCTGTGTTGCCTTTCACAGGAAGCATCGAGGCTCGTTTCAGAATCCTCCGTGCATTGCTGGCCATGGAAGAGCACAGAGGATGGACGTTCAGATGTAGGTTCGACCGCGAAAGGCTCTTTTTGCGTCAACCAGACCTGGAGGTGTACACCTTCTCGGAAGAACCCATTATTATCCAGCCATCGATACAGTGGCTAGCCAGACATGGCTGATGGGCGGAACATTGGTCGATAAGCTCAGCAACTCCAGGCTCTGCGATAATGGGAGTTGTAAAGCAGTCTCAAACGTTACAATTCTTCCATCAGGCGACTGTATATCTTGGCATTTTCATCGAGAGGATCTCGATGTCCTGACCTGTGGAACGATGCCATGCTTTCATGTATTATTCAGGTCGTGCATATCCATTGACACATGCTTCATAGTTGTTGCAAAGGCGTATGCGGACCACCCGCTATGCCGTGTGATGTTTGTGGGTTGTTGATCTCGAGACGTGCAGTAGAATGTTTGTCTGATGTCGTCAAATTGAGCTACTGTTCATTGACTCGAAGCAGGAATCTGGCTTTGACACAAAAGAGCCAGCGGCAGTATCCGACTCCGTGGCCTCCAAAATCTCCTTTCAGTCAGGGAACAATTCTCGGAACTGATCTCGAAACTGATCTCGAAACTGATAACATGCCAGCAGTCTCTCAAGAGAGCCAAGAGGACCGTAAGAGCCCGGGAGAGCGGCAGTCAAGACCTGCCAACGGAGATCAGAGCGAGTCTTCACCTGGCAAAAACCGGCACAGCGAGGAGCAATCGAGCCATTCGAGCAGTCGGCAGAAATCCGAAAGTCGTGCAGTTGCCATGCTGCCGAGGGCCGGGTCTTCAGTTTCCCATGAGCGACTAGTGTCGCTCACAACGTTGGATCCAGAGGCGCAACCGTCGTACCAGGCCGCCGCAGGGACTAACAAACCGATTCCAGTACCGCATGTACTGATGATGAGCTGCGGTATCCCGTTTCCAGTAGTCTTCGGACACGTCGATCGCTGCGCCAGGATTGCGCTCCTGTATGACAACCAGGATCGGGTCCCTGCTGGACGTATCACGCTCAAAGAGAGCGCCAACGATTTACTGTCGACCTATGTGCGTAGCCGATATCCTTCGATAAAACGTTTGCTGCTAGAGCTGCACTTTGACGACATGCTTTTGCAGGGTGGGCAGATGCGTGCTGAGCATCTCCGCGCGGATCACCTCCGCACTGCCTTGAGAAGTCTGTTGCCGCTCGTGCATGACTGCGAGCTGCATATTGTGATACACCCCAACCCTTCGATGCTTGATGGATCAGGGACCGCGGAGTCGACCGAACAAGAGCTCTACAATCTAGCTCTCGTTAATCTCACTGAGCTGGCATGGGAGTACAATAGGATGTACGTTCGGCTAAGGACGGACAGGCATGGCACTTGGGGCCGCGGTGAGGACTTCTGGTTCTTGTGGTTCTCGACAGTGAAGCCAGACAGGAGGGACACAGAGTTCAGGCCGGGCATGTAGCGAGTGCGTGTAGACACACGAGAAGCATGCGGAAGTGTCTCATGGTAACCTGATTCTGATGTTAATTCTTCCGTAGCGTGCAGATAGATCTTGACAAGAACATGATCCGGCCAGCAGCTGTCGTCCTGATTCCGTATCGAAGACCTGGTCACGGCCAGCTTGTCTCTGGTGGTATGACATGGTCGTTCACCCGGCTGAGTGAGTCCGGTCCGTCGGTGTAACATTTTTGTCTTCCCGCTCCTGATGTGCCAGAGAGGAATCACCGAATGTTCCATCGAAGCCGCCAGCCTGGGTTTTCAGTATAAAGCGCCAACGTCACAGTAAAGCACATCATACCAGAGCTCCAGAACTAACACAATAGAGACCCACCTATCCCAGAAACATGCCACCACCATTAGAAACTAGTCCGTATAGTCGTGCTCACCCCGAAGAACGACAGTCCCGATCCCTTTACAGAGACGAGCGCGGATCTCGACATAACAGAACCCAGCAAGGAGAGGAGCCTTCGAGACAGTCACCTGAGAGGTCGTACTCCACGAGACGCTTGGCCACAAGGCTAAGTACACCATCCTCATCTCCTGAAGGAGTAGTCGTATCCGCCACACCACCGAATGTAAGATCTCAGAGACCCCACAGTTCGGAGCCGCCTGCCATAGGGAGTTAAGCGCCAGTGCCTGATTTGCTCGTACTTAGTTTTGCTATTCCGTTCTTGCAAGCCTTTCGCCGTTTCGAACGTGTGGTAGAGATAGGGGTCATCCACTCAGACGGCAATCGAGGTCAGACCGTGCGTCTCGGACTCAACGAAACTGTGAGCGAGCTTCTTTCGACCTTCGTTAGGTGTCAACACCCATCCATAAACCGCATAGTGGTGGAGCTGAACTTCCGGGATATCGATATGGTGCCGAGCGAGATATGGAGGGATCACGCAGACTTTGCCCTAAAAAGCCTGTCGCCATTATTCCACGACCATCTATTCGTGATTGTATTGAATCGTGCTTCTTTGCTGCTTGGGTTGCCCGGTGTGACGAACGAAGACGTCGAGAAGCTCCAAGGGAAAATCTTGAAGGGCTTTGCTCGAGCGGCATGGAGCTTGGAAAGACTGCACATTTTGGAGAAGACGGATGAGAAGGACGGATGGGGGCTCTGGTCCGACTTGTTGTATCTCGAATGCGTTCCAGAATTGGCGCTGGGGGAAACAGCTGTCGAGTTGTGATCGGCTTCCGCGACGAGAGCCGATGAGGGCATGGTAATCCGAGAGACAGAGAGTTCAGGCGGCTCCCATGGTAATTGCGTCTCAGCATCTGGCTACATGAGAAGATCACGGAAATCCAGTGCGGGAGCCCTCCAGCTACTCGAGGTGTGCCCAGAGGTCGCGCCACACTCCCTGATGTGAGACCTCATCGGCCCCAAAGTTCGGAGCGGCCTGCCACAGGATGTGAGATTTCAGTACCTCATCCATCGGCTTCGACTCGACTTCCACTTCGCCTGATTAGCTGTAGCTTTATATACTATTTTGAAAGAAGCACGTACGAGCTCGTGTGGTCCAATTGGTTAAGATACCCTTCGTACTCCTCTATCGACGACATCGGGGGGGTGACGGGGGTTCAATCCCCTCCATGAGCATAATTCATTTTTGGTCACATGTTTTTGCGTAACCTTTGCGGGCCAAGGTAACGCTGACCCCATTCCGTTTGTGGTAGTCCTGTTCAACTACAGAGACAACCCGACAAAAGCCACCTCTGCGTACTATACCGACGGAGGGAGTCATATCTACTGTTCCTTTCTTGCAGGTCTCCGGTCATGTTGAAATTGTTGCCGAGATAGCCATCCGCGACTCGGACAGCAGTGTGTTGCGCTGATGCAACATCAAGACCCGCGGCAGTCTCGACGATGAAAAGACCGTCGTGGTGAGCGTGCAGTGCTGCGTCACCTTTCTTGGTTCCCTCATGCAGGCGGACAACAAGGAGTGGATGGGCAAGTGAGATGGAGGAGTGAGAGTCAGAGTCGAAGAGAGGTGAGATGCAAAACGTTAGCGTGAACCTAAGGCATCAATGACATTGCCACGTGACTGCATTCGCTTCTCTGCATCAACAAGTCTTGCTTTTGCCAATCGAACCATGGAGAAATGCTAGATTGTTCAGGAACAACAGTTTCTGATATATGTTCTTGGTCCAAGGTCCTTAAATCTCCTCGGTTCAAAGCTCTACATAACACTCAGCAACCCTCTACTGCGAGGAACATCGATCCTACGAACTGGAGCTCATATCCCCGTACTTCGACCTCGCCTCCTCAATCTCCTTCCCGTCCAGTTTCCTCAGCGATCCAGTGTTGGCAACCTTACCACTCTTGATAGCCTCCTGGATCTCTTTCCCAAATCCCTCCCCATCAGTCGCGTGCTGCCAATAGTTGATATCTTTTTCCAATTGTCAGCACCACATCTTTTCGTCTACCTCACTCGACGTAAGTACTCACACTTCGCCTTGACCTCAATAAGCTTCATCCTCGGATCCTCCGGCCCACCATCATGCTTCCCATCCCCCAAATCCCCAAACCACGCCTTCACACCCTGCGTATACACCTCCTTGATCCTCTTATCGTCATTACTGCTCACCACCGTCTCGCCCGTCACGGAGATCCAGTCTTGCGTCGTGCTGTCGTGGAAGTAGACGTTGGTGACTTTGTTCTGCTCGATGTCGGAGAATTTCTGGGAGTGGGCGTTGGCGAGGAAGAGGAAGTCGGGCCCGCTGCGTTTGGCGACGGCCATGGCGCGGCCGACGGGCTGGGAACAAATTCGAGGTCAGTGGCTGGTCTGAGGGAGGGAGGTTAGGGGGTGGTAAAAGCGTACGCCGACGCCCTCGCGAAGAGAGCCCATGATGCCGATTTTGAGGTGGTCAGCGATGGCGCCGAAGTCCTTCATCTTCTGCTCCAGGGAGACGTTGTCGTCCCATTGTTTTGTGACGGAGGGGTCTTGGCCCTTGTCGATTTCTGATTGCTTCAATGGCTCGGGCATCTTGAAGGGGCTTGTGGTTGTGAAGGTTCGGGTGTAGTTGGGTGTTTTGAGTAAGGAAGCAGGAGAACGTAGACAGAATCGAGAGGCTGAGGAGCGGAACATATGAGCTGTATAAGAAGCCATCGGGAGAGCTCATGTACTTGTCTTCATGTAGGGAATCATCATCCGCCCAGAGGGTTCCGCATAGTGGTGATGCAATAATTGCGGGCATCTTGGACGCGTCCGCGAGCACTATACGCGCATGTGTGCTTGGAATTGCCCGAATACCCGTTGCTCCTTCGTTAATGCACCGAGATGGATGGGATGGGTCGAAGATGGGCGACTTTTGCGTTCGCTGATCGTTGATGGAGTTGCGGGGTGATGAAGACTAAAACGAAACCAAATGTCAATGCATGTGATTGACGATGACGCAACACCGGCTATATGGAATCCCAGTCTACATGTACTCTAACATTAATCTTTCTGAACAACAAACACAAGATACTGCATAGCCATATGTATCATCAACAATAACACCACCCTATCAAAGATGTCCACCCCAACCCAATCCGCCATCTCCTGGCCCCAGAAATTCCTCCCCGGCACCACAGACAACTTCGTCTCCAACGAAACCATCGCCGCCAACCTCTCCGCCTCCCAAATCTGGCCCCTGCTCCAAGACGTCTCCAAGTGGGAGAGCTACTACAACAACGTCTCGGACATCACACCCCCCTCTTCCGGGCCTAAGCTGAAGGAGGGCGACACGTTCAAATTCTCCACCTTCGGCTTCCCGGTAGAAAACTAATAGGTACCTTGTTCAAGACATTGGCTGACCCTTTTGCCGTTTTGTGTGTAGGTCCTCACCTGCCCAGTAGAAGAATGCGTTCCCCCTGAAAACGGGAAGGCGGGAAGGATCGCGTGGAGTTTCGCGTTGGGAGAGGAGGTGAGCGGGTATCATGCGTGGCTTGTTGAGGATCTGGAGGGAGGGAGGGTTAGGGTGCTGACGCAGGAGAGTCAGTTGGGTAAGCCGGCGGAGGAGTTAAGGGAGAAGAAGCCGAATCGGATGTTACTTGGGCATCAGGATTGGTTGGATGGGCTGGTGAAGGCGGCGCCGGGGGAGAGGGTTGGGGAGACGAATTTGGGCGCTACTGAGGGGTGATATGAAGAAGGAGAGGATGTTATCATGCTGTATAGTTCTTACACTGCCCTTACATACTCTTCCGAGTTGATTACGCCTACCGCTTCATCCTCTTAGATCCCAGCATCTTCCGGCTTGACGTCCAAGTTCCAGTCGATTGGTCCTTCCTTCCCATACCGCTCCCCCAACCACTCATTCGCCTTCTTAAAGTGCCCGCACTCGAAGAACCCTCTCGCCGCCGACAGCGGACTCGGGTGCACACTCTTCAACACCAAGTGCTTACTCCCATTAATCTTCACACACCTCTTCTGCGCCGGCGTGCCCCAAGCCAGAAACACTACCCCATTCCTCCGCTTCTCTGCCACAACATCAATCACTCGTTGCGTGAATGCCTCCCAGCCTTTGCCAGCGTGGCTGTTGGCTTCGTGCGCGCGGACGGTGAGGCATGTGTTGAGCATGAGCACGCCTCTGTCGGCCCACGGGGTGAGTAGGCCGCTGTTCTTTGGTGGTTCTTTGAAGTCTGGGTACTCTATCTTGAGGAGTTTGTAGATGTTCTTTAGACTCGGTGGGGCGGGCGTTGGAGGGCGGACGGAGAAGCAGAGGCCGTGGGCTTGGTTGAGGTTGTGGTAGGGGTCTTGGCCGATGATTACAGCTTTGACGGAAGGGAGAGGCGTGTGGCGGGACCAGCTGTAGACATCTTCGCTTGGAGGGAACACCTTCTTGCCGGAGGTGACTTCCTGCTTGAGGAATTTCTTCAAGCTGAGAAAGGAGGGTTTGATGAGCTCGTCCTTGAGGGCGCCGAGCCAGCTTTCGTGTAAAGTCTCTATCTCAAGTTTGAGGAGGTCTTTCTGCTCGGTGGTGAGTTTGGCGATCCAGGCATCTTTGTCGAACTTGATCGGTTCTGTTGCGGGTGCGGAGGGAGATGATGTCGGATGAGATGGGTTGCTCGAGGATGTTGCTGGGTTGGTCTTTGGCTGGCCGAAGAAAGAAGTGATGGATGCATTGGACTTGGGCTTCTTGGCCGTTTCGGCGGCCAAGTCTGCTGCTTTGCGTTTCAGCGACATCTTTGATACAATCTTCGTTGATGTTTGGTAACAGAAATCAGCGGTGGAGCTGAAGGTCGCGACCTCGAACGCGCCTTGCCCAGCTACGTCACGCGTCGCCGATAAGATGAGGTTCGATCGCGCCGCGCCGAAGATTACGGCGGACTAAGTCGACCCAAAAGGACATGGAATTAAAAGTGAATGTAATTGGCTTTATAACGTAAGGATTATATGCTATAAGTTACCGGCGTGATACTAGATCAAAAGGAGTAGTAGAGTGCCTTTCGTTCAGCGATAACTCGTGTCTATTCTATAAGAGGTAGCTATATACGTCGTCGTAATCTATAATCCCTATAATGCGGAACAAGTAAGCTAGGCCCAATCGGGCCTAGCTTATTGAAATCAAGGTTACGGCTAATCGCGGGTGGCGGACGCTTGACAAGCAAACCCTAGTCGCGTTAGCTAATTACGTACAAAGCTACTAGTTAGCTAATCCGCGACTAGGGTCTACTTGTCTAGCGTCCGCTACCCGTCATTAGCCGTGACCGTAATTTAAATTAAGCCTAGCTTACCCGTTCTAGAAGATAAGATGGAATTTGTACGTACGTATTTACCTCTCCTTACTTCGCCTATATTACTATATCTAGACTAGTCAATGACGACTAAGGGAGCGTTATATAGACTATTCGCATTACGTAGTTACAAAAAAAAAGAGCTCTAACTAGCGTCGTCGACGCTACCGTACTAGTCAAGCTATTTTTATTCCATGTCCTTTTGGGTCGACTCAGTCCGCCGTAAAGATCCGTTCGTGTGAGGCGGTGCAGGCGGCGACGTCACCATTAGAGTCAGAGCAAGCTCGACATACAGGTATTGGCAACAACGACCTGCGATCAATATTGCCGCTGCAAACCCTTCTACGCCTGGACTTCTCGACCACGACTGGACGATCTTCCACTTCCTACGAACTCACAGATCACTGGAAGTCGCAATCCCAGCTGGACACAACACAGTATCTCCACGACCTCTCAACATGTCGGGCTCACGCATCCCATCGGAGGCGCCGCCTTCATACGAGCAAGTCACTGGTGGTTCACACCCGCCTGCCGCTTCCTCAAGCACTCCCGCCAGCGCATCGGCAGGTCAGGCCTCAAGGTCGCGTCTAGAAGTCCCTAGCATTCCAGCTTCACACCGCAGAAGTATGGAAGATGAGTTGAGACCATTGCCGAAAGGCGTGAGTTGACATGCCCCTGCGTTGCAGTCGGACTCCTGCTGAACGATTCATTCAGTGGGTCCGCCAGTACGATGACAGAGAGCACCACCAGTTCTTCGTCGACACCACCAAAGAACCCCCCCGCTCCTCCTGGGTCCACCCCTACGACGACGACGAATTCCTCGCCACCCTGCCAACCGACGAACGCGAACGCATCGAGCAAGAGAGCTTGAACCGCGGACA